CGCACGCAGAGGGGCGGCGGCGTACTTTGCGGCGGCAGCGTGAGTGCCTGACGCTTGCCGGTGTCCTCGTTTCGCACGTGGCGCCCGCAGAGGCAAGGTACTGCTGTTGCTTCTGCTGCCCCTGCTGTTTCCACAGCCAACATGAAGCGACCAAGTAAGTGGGGTCCGGAGGCGTGAGTTGGAGGGGCCCCTGTCTCTGGTGGTTGCTGAACCCACCAGGGCGCTCTTCTGCGGCTTAGTCTCGGCGGGTGTAGTTATAGGTAGGCCGTAGCCCTGTTCACGCGTAGAACCTAGGGGTGGAAGGCCCTCTGTCGTCGATCTTGTTAACCGCGGGCTTTTGGAAGGCTTGGCTCCGAGGGTGGAGAAAGTCAGGCGAGATTCTCGTAAAGAAACACCGTCTGAGCCAGGTTTCGGGCCCCCAGTTTTCCGCCACGTGCAGGCCCGGCTGAGGTGAGAGCTGAGAGCAGCCTTCCAGACCTGGTCCTTTCTTGCCTTATTATTCGTGGTGTTTGACACGAAGTGACTGTCGTTTGCGGTCTCATACGCTCCTGTGTGTGATCCCTTTCTAATATGGGAAGAGTAGGCTCAAAGAACTTGGGCGCCATTCTGTATCTATTAAATCAACTTCTCCGGGATTTGGGAGCGGCATGTTTTTATTAAGCGCCCCGCGTTATTCTTAACATTGTTTGACAGCTAATGACACAAAAAAGGATGTGACTCCGTAGTGCACTCACCAAAAACTAAACAAACTGATCATTCTTGTCTAATTCCTTTGTGATGTGTTTCTTTGTAGAGTTAAAGAAAGCAAGTAAACGCATGACTTGTCATAAGCGATATAAAATCCAAAAAAAGGTAAGTGTTGCGCTTGGGAGACCTATAGCAAATATATTGCTAGGCTGATTTCTGCCTCACCTCTCCACCACGGGGATGTCTGGATTGATATGATTTAGTCTCAGGATAGATTGTGGGCACAAGCTCTGAGGTACAGCTGGGGGAAAGTGCGGTAATTTGGTTATAAGAAAGTCTGTAAACTTTGCTCAACATATTAATAATCCCTGCAAAGACAGCCTCCTAGTGACAGTTGGTTTATACATATATGTGTGTGCTATCTCTGTGATTCCTATTAAAGCTTCATTTTTTTCGGGCTGACCCTGTGGCTCACTCGGGAGAGTGCGG